GGTGTCTAATAATTTACAACTCGAAAAAGCATTATTTTCCCATGATCTCATAATATATTTATTTTCTCCATTTTTCATATCTTGATGTTTCTGCTATTGAAGAATATTTGTCAATCAATGTTTTGATTTCTTTTTACTTCCTCCAAAAAAAAAAAAAAGATACTCTTACAAGGTAAATCTTTCAACTGATGACAATTTAAAATTAATGAAGACAAGTACAATCTCCTTTCATCCACACCAAAATCTAAGAGTCTAGATTTATGGTAACCTCGTGAATGTTCCAGCCATAATAACATGAATTATTAAAATCATGATGCTCTTAGCTCTCAGAGTTATTGTTACAAGACCTGTTCTTGAAAATCTCCTCCAGTTATTTTTGGGGTCTCCTGAATGTCTCACACATGCCCCATTTTTCTGGCCATGAACTCCCCCTGGTTCCTCAGGCACAGTCTCTCATAGCTACCTTCCCTGGCCTCTGTACACTTCTATCATCAGTCCACGAACCAACCAGCCCCCTCACCCCACCATTCTCATACCTTCCTTTTCTCCCCATCTCTCCTCAGGTATCTGACCACTCAGTAACTTTCCTCTCTACTCCCTCCACTAAAACATTAAAAATAAAGAGCCCCCAAGAGCATTTGGTGCTGAGAGAAACTAGTCCATTTTATAGTTCCTCAAAGCATCAGGTTCCCAGGTTGAATTCAGCTAATATAAACTATGATTTTTCTAAAAGTATAATAAAGAGAAAAAAAATCATTCCTTTTTTCCAAAATGTTACTTCATAACTTTCCTTTAAATGAGATTTTTCCAGAGCTTGCAAAATGTCACTTAATAATCATTTCAACGATATTATATATGTGTACATACACACACACAAAACCAGTTTTATATTATATTTTGGAATATAAATTTCCACTAACTACATTAAATATAATAAAACTGTATAACATATAACATAAAATGTATAAATGTGTTTATGTGATGTTTACACTTTTGCAATGTGAATAGTTACTGTAAACACTGTTTACCCATCACAACATACCTCTGCAGTAATACTGTTACCTATCATTTCACAAGTGAAGAAAGTCAGATTCAAAGTGTTAAATATGTTTTCAAAGGTCACCCAGCCAGCCAGGCACCGTAGTGCCCACCTACCTTCCCAGTGACTTGGAGGCTGAGGCAGGAGAACCCCAAGTTCAAGGCCAGATTCGACAATTTAAGAGACCCTGATTCGAAATAAAATGGGTTGGGGATGTGGCTCAGTGGTCAAGCACCCCTGGGTTCCATCTGTGGTATCCCCCCCAAAAAAAGTCACCCAGCCAGTATAGAGCAAGGCTGGATTTGAACCCAGGCAGCTCAGTCCCACATCCTATGAACAAAGCTCTTCTATTGTCCCTATCATCTGGGCCAAACTGTAGAACAAAGGAGCACCATGAACAAACAGCTTTTGTCTGATGGCTACAAATGACTGCTTCTATGAGGCAATATTCTCACATCCACCACACCATCACCACACACACACACACACACACACACACACACACACACACACACACACACGACATTCATATCTACTTCTAAATCAAGGATCCGTTTTCTTTCTGAAATTATTTTCTTTTTCAAATCAGAATTCCCATAGTTTCTTTTCACCGGAGGAGCATCTGAGCAGAGGCACCAGGAAGATGGTTACCTGTTTGTTTTCTAAGAAACGTGTGCTCCTGGGGAGCAATCACTGTCACCGTTGGCCATCCAAGGCCCCAACCTGCCTGGCTACAGAGCTCCCTTCAACAGCCTTACAACACAGGATGAAAATTGGAACTCCTGTGTTTTTAATTACTCCATATCCCAGGAACAGATGACAAGCCCTGAGCCCTCTCGGCTCCAGTGAGAAAGATCTGGCTCTCTTCCCTGAATATGCAAACATGGAATCACTCCCAGGACACCTGAGCTGGCAGCGCCCGACACCAAATGCTAAAATTGCTCAACCTTGAACCAAGGAGGGAGCTGCACTTTCAAAGTCATTGAAATACAGCTGGGACCGCTGCCTTGGTTTCTAATGAACGGGGACTTGTTGTATAATTGAAAACAAGCTTAACATGCTTCATTCAGTATTGTCAGAAAAAAGAGAAAATTTAAAAAAAAAGAAGAAAAAGACCTGATGCCAATTTTTTAAAAGTCCCTCTGGCCAATTTGCCTGCATAAAAACTAGCCCGGCATCGGCAGCCGCTCCACATCTTGGCAGTATCTTCTCTGGTCCACCCTTTGGCACTGAAGATAAAAACGATCTTTATAGCTGCTCCTTGGAAAGGTCACTTCAGTGCAGTGGAATAATTAATAAGGACAGAGGAATAACCAACCATTTCTTCCTAGCTTTTCCAAGCTCTTTCAGTGATAGGGTACAGCTACTATTTTAGTCGGCTTTTTAGCTGCGATGATTAAACAGAACTCACCGGAACAATTGTAGAAGAGGAAAAGTTCTATTTGAGGGCTCATGGTTTCAGAGGTCTTAGTCCATAGAAGGCCAGCTCCATTTCTCAGAGCTTGAGGTGAAGGAGAACAACATCATGGCGGGAGAGTATGGCGGAGGGAAGCAGCTCACATGATGAGCAGAGAGACTCCACTCTCCAGATACAAAATATATACCCCAAAGCCGTGCCCCCAATGAACCACTTCCTCCAGCCACACCACACCTGCCTCCAGTTAACACTCAGTTAATTCCACCAGGGATTAATTCACTAATTAGGTTAAGTCTATAACCCAATCACTTCTCCAAACCTTCTTACATTGTCTCACACATGAGCTTTTGAGGAAAATCCCATCTAAACCACAACTACTAGTTCAGCCAACCAACAACTTTTTCTAATTCTTCCCCCCCCCCAAAAAAAAACATGCATGTGGATCCCTCAGAACCTAAGAGATTGTTGGAGGCCAGACTGAGCAAAAAATCTTTTAACTCTTGATATCTGATGGCTGTAGGGAACCATATATGCCTGGATGCCAAATCAGGGAAAGTTGTTTATTTATACAATTAATATGTTAATAACTATAATTTATAAAAGGAGCCAATTGCTTGTCTCTCCTCCCTGTCCCTCTCCTGATGTTCATTCTCATGGCAAATTGCCCAGGATACCTGAGAGGGAGCAATAACAATTAAGACATAGGTGGAAGTCATCAAAAAGATTGCATTTAGTTGTGTCTTTGCCTGACTCACTGGAAACTCCGATGCCAACATACAGATCTCATGCCCCTTCTACAAGCCACAACAGATGATTGTAGTGAATGATCACAGCTGAGCAATCATGGTCAGACTCAGCTTCAGCTGTCCACAGCAAAGAGAGAGCTGAAGAGGGCTTGGTTTAAACCAAATAAAGATTTTTTTCCAAAAGATACCTCTGGTGGGATACCATCAACTCAATTGTGGGAAACAGATCCAGTTTGTATATTTACACAACCAAAGCTAATCTTAGTAGATAGAAAAAAAAATAACTTAAAATAAATGTGGTTTAAAAAAAATGGCCTGCATTTGAACTATTCAAAGACAGAAAAACCAGAAGATCTTAATCCCAGATAAGGGAAAACTGTCTGGCTGAGGAGCAGTAAGCTTGACAGGGAGAGTAACA